AATATTGGACTTATATGGCCGTCCGGGAAACATTGGACTTATATGGTCCTCCGGAAAATAATATTAGACTTATATGGCCCTTCGGGAACCCTCGGTTTAAAATACCCGCAGTCGTGCACCGTTTAGGGCATCTTGAGTATGGTAGTTTCCTTAAGGTTACCTTGGTGAAACAGACAGTGTAGAATGTACTCGAATTTGTGTTTCAGTTTCTAGGATTCAGCTATTTGCTTCATTTTTAACACTTGTTACTGTAGTATGCACCTGACGAGATACAGCGAAATATGCCAGTCAATAAATTGTGCAGTCTATTGTTTGTGTCTTCTTTGTTCAAATTCACATCTTGAGTATGTAAAAAAAATAATAAATAAATACAAATTATAGGTAAACTCACGGGAACCGACTTAAGCTTGTCGGGTTATCTCTTATAGCTTGGTCACTGTAGAACAACTAGTCGCCTCCCAGAGCGTTGCACATAGCCCGAAATCCTTAGCTCTAGCAACTATTTCCAAGATCTCTTTAATAATTGCCCTCGTTAACTAAACCACAGAAAACGGTTTGACTACTTCGGCGCAGAGACCCATCTGATTAGTAAGTTAATGACGTCACCACCGAACATAGACCTTCTTTACCTTTATAGACAAATGGGAGCTAGATCAGTTATGTGGTCAACATCGAGCTTGCTGCCTTTACTTCCCATAACATTACCCGGTAACCTGTTTGGGCCGGGTAGTTCCTGGAACAGAGGGTAATATTTAAAACGTCGATGCGGATTTGAATCTTGCCTTCTGTGCTAGACAGTTATTAGTCTAAAGAAGTCGGTGCTCAACAGATGTTTGGCAAACATTACGTCGTATTGTTTTCTTGTTTTCTGTGTGCTGATGAAGGCTCAATAGCCGCAGCGTTCACGTTTTGTTTGTATTCGTTCTATTGTGAAGCTTGCTAATATACTTTTTGTTCGGGTTTATATCTTTTCTTGATGTTTTTTTTTAAAGGACTTTTCTGATATCCAGTTTAATCTGAGTCCCCGTTGGAATGATTCTTTTCCCTTTGTTGTCTCACTGATGCCAGTTTGCAAGGGAGCTTCGTGGTCTCGAGTCATGGTGTCCGCATCGAGTGCCTTAGGTCCCGGGTTCAGGCCCCGGTGAAGGCTTGGATTTTTTTCAAGCGGACTTCTATTAATTTCCCCTGGTCTCTAGGTAATAAAATCAGACGCCCGTGTGTATTGTTGCTAACGCACAAAATCCCTTGGCAGTTGGAAATCGAAAAGAGTAGCCTAACGGCCCTGCCAGGACAAAATTTGGAGTTAAAAAATCTACCCGAAATATTTCAGGATCCTCGCCTTGCTATGGAACCCGTGCACTGCGCTGAGCTACTTCGGACTCAGACTTGAGTTAGCAGTAGAACGGAGCTCTTATGGGATACTACCCTTGTGCCATGACATTGATCCGCTGTTCAAACCTCAAACCTCAGTTTGTAGCCTAGTGTGGCGGTTTTCTGTACCTCTCTTGCTCTTTTCGAGTGGCTCGGGTGATGGATTTGTTCATCTTTTTGCAGGTTTCGACTACTCATTTATCCTTCTCTTTCTTGGTCTTACCCTCGCCTTCCCCCCCCCCCCCCAGATGTTCTGCTGTAAAACGTCTCATATTCAGTTTTGCCTGTCCTATGTCTATTCAGTATTTCTTGCGTAGTAGCGAGCAAAATTCTTCTTCCATTCGCTTGAAACAGATTATCTATATCTGCAGTGTTGTCTCTACTATGAATTGCACTTTTACAGTTCAGTTAACGACCCGTAAAGTTTGTTTCTCTTGGCCAAAAGTTATGCCTTGATATGTTGCATTTAGGGCAGTCTTGAAGGACATGATCGTCTCATGTGCCAGTCCACATGTGCACATGGCTAATTCGCCAATTTTCATTTGTGTGTACATGTGGCTGCTAAGTTAATTGTGCCTTGTTCTAAGGCGTAGAATAAAAACTTGCTTTGGTCTGTCCATAATATGGTAATCGTCTTGTGCCGGTTTTTGGTGGCCTTCTGATTGATTTGATGATTCTCTTCTTCTTTTAATAAGAGACTGGTACGTCAGGTTGTTCTTCATTTGCACCTTCCTTAGCTAGTTCATCAGCTCTTTCATTTCCGGGAACTTCACAGTGGAATGGTATCTATTGCATAGTTGCCTTACACCGGTTGCCTAGTTTGAAGAGTAGTGTTCGTATTTCAGGTAATTGTCCAGATCGGAGTGCCTGAAGCACAGCTCTGGCATATGTTAGAAATACCACTGGTTGTGAAATATGACGTATATTTAACAGTTTTTCTGCTGCTGTTTTGATGGCTTAAATTTCTGCACCATAGTTGTGACAGTGCTTTCCTGTAGGTATTTGAGCAATCAATTATACCACTGCTGGCTTGATAGGCATGAACCGTACATGACTGATTCTGTGTAATGCGTATGTTTCATTTTTACTGAATATAGAAACTTGTCAGGTTATATGCACCTGTTTATCCTTACATAAGAGGAGTGACATGAGTGATTTTTAAAATAATGGATTCTAATAGAATTATGTAAAGAACAATTATGTAAAGAACCTTTTATTTAAGCATCAGTGGCGCATAGGGCGCATGACGCCAGATTCATGTTTGTACAGACGTTTGTGCACTCGGTCGGCGATATGGTCAACATTAGGCCCACCGTCTCTGTACATCACTGGGTACTCATTCCATGCTTAGTAGTCAAAGTCAATTTTGAAAACAGTATTCACCTGGATGTGGATTTAAATCCGACCTTCGGGCCGGTAAGCAAACCAGTAGTCACTACTCCAGGGCGACTCTCGATACATGAGCGGCAGGGAATGACAGAGTTCTCGACATTCTAATATAGAAGTGGGAAGAATCAGAAGAGGCATTAAACCCACCAATTCTAGACCCACAGTATATTTTTAACCGCTTTGTAGTGCTCAAGTAAAGCTGTGTGGTTGACCGACTTTATGGGAATTTTAGCGTTTTTGATTCTCTACCTTGAGGTGTTAACCATATAGGTTGTTAAGTGTAACCTTTAACAAAAGTAAGGTAGGATTAATTCTTAGATCCTTCACTATCAAGTTTATAGATTACTGTATACGTAGGAATTATTTTAAATCTAGGAAGAGGAAATTCGTCCTAATAACTAATATTCTAGCAGGGCTGACCAAAGACATAGCCTTAGCTGGCAACTGGTCTAGTATTGAAATCCAACAGGCGAACAGAACAGGAGCTGTTCTACTGATCTGATAGGTTCAGCGGGACCTTTATTCTAAGCAAACTGACGTTGTTGTTACATTTTCTCTGGAGTATGTTGAATGTTGAATTAAGAATCGACATCATAGCACACGGGACACTCCACTAAGCGCTCCGTCCCCATTTTCAGCAGCAAGCGAAGAGTTCCGGTTTCGATGGTACCAGTAACTCTGATTGTACATTCGTCGTGCCTTTGGTGTAAACAAGACAGACCGGTTGGGGGAAAGGGGGAAGGGAAAAGGAGGGTGGGGGGGGGGGGGGGGTCAAGCTACATGGGTATCACGTGGTCGCTGCAATACTGCACAGATTTTTTGTTATGGAAATTAGAAATCTCACCTCTGACCCTAATCGGCTGTGATCCTCATATCTCTCTAGGAAACATTATAACAGAATCACTGAAAAGACGGAGAGGTGCTTAAAAAAATTCTCTAATTATTCTGTAATAATAATCGGGTATATTGTTTTTATTACAATTGCTTCAATATCATGGAAATCCAGTCATTGGTTCTCTCAAAAAAACATATGTCTTAGCGTAGTTTAGATATCTTCGTTTACCGAAGTTTAAACTGCCCATTTATTTCATATTTAACTTCCTTTCTGTCATATAACTGTGGTACCAGTGACTGGCCAGGCATTTCTCTTATTCTCCAAATACATAGGATAGAGTGGTTCGAAGAAGTTGATGGATGAAGCAGAAAGAATTAAGAGATAAACAACATGTCAAGTAAAGTAATAGTAAAATAAAAGTGGTAAAGGACTTTTGTTTCATGTGCATCGAGCATCAGATATGTGATTCTAGAAGTACAGCCCAGTGAGTGCTCTATGAACGGTGCAATAGGCCACTAGTAGTTTTCTTCTTCATCTTCTATACTTCCTCTTTTGCTGCTTCGGCTGTCGAGGGAGACATTAAGTTCTGCTTCTTGCTCTTCTTGCCGCCTCGACCAAATACACATTCTACTGTTCAATGGCTTCCCTGATGTTATTTTATACTTTGCCTTTGGTTTACCTCTTGCTCTTCGTCCATCTCCTCTTCTGTTGTATGTATGCCTTGTATGGTGTGGGGGCACAAGGCATTTTCTCTAAGTATGTTAACATTTGATTTCCAGTCTTTGTATGTAATTTATGCCAACTGTATCTCTTATGACCCCATTCCTGACTTTTTTTTTTAAATCTCCTGGTCCACTCCTGCGGCCCTTCTGAGACAGTACGAGTATTCAGTTAACATATAATAGGCTGGCTTGTCCTAAAAAACGTACTTACAAATCTTCTTCTTCTCTCCCTCCAGTTTTATCTCGAAGTGTTGGAGAAGGTGTCATGATCTTCTCTTTACTCTGTCAAATGTGTTGCATAAGTTAATCTTCATTTCATTAGGCTTTCTTGATGCTGCCGTTCCACATTTTGTGTGGTCTTCTCCTCGCTCTGTTTTTATTATACAGGCATATTTCTTTCGCATGACTCTCTACGGGAGTCTTATCAGAAGATTCTCGTAAAATGACCAAACTACCTAATCATCTGCTCTTTAATTACCCGTATGACTGGTTATAGTCTTCTCTTTCTAATAAAAACATATCGTCTCCCTCTATAGCAATACCTCTAAAACGTTTCTCCTATGTTCTCTTGCAGAAATCCGATGTGAGTGCTGACAAGTTGTGACCACGTCTCTTGCCGGAGACCAAGAATAATTTTAGCCGGAATATTTACCCCAGGGATGAGCTAAGCGCTTGTGTGGACCATGACAACACATGAGAATAATTCGGCACAGCAGACCCGTGTCCGGCCAGGTTTGGGCAGTGATGAGCCTGGCGACAATGATGGATTGGATGCTGTTGTGGTGAAGGCAGGCGTTGGTGCTGAGACTGTGGCAGCAGTCGCTTCGCCCCTCTGGAAGGTTCCTGATGGCGGGTATGTATATGCTTTTGTTTTTGAAAAAGAAGAAGAAATTCTTTTGCATGTTCGAGTGTGTTCATTTATCTGTCAGTGTGAGTAAGCATGTATGTCTGTGTATTTGTTTTTCTACCTCATTATCATTACCTCTCTGATTCGCTACATTGCTGAAAGAGGCAAAATCTAATGGATTAAATTAACCCCTGGATTTTTGAAGAATTGTATAAGAAAGAACAGACTGTTATTCCTCTGTGACACAATAACACCTCCATAGGATGATGAGGATAAACATTTTGCCCCCACCCCTCCGCTGTCTGTATCTGCCTCAAAGTCCCTAGATGGACAGTAGAAACGAAAGTAGAAGAATGTAAGATGACACAGGATGCCATGTGCAGCAATGGAAATAGCTTATGGGACTTGCCGGGATGAAAGGGGCAGATATGGCAGTCAAGCTGTAAACTCCAATGTGCCAGCAGCCTTTTTAACGGCTAATGCACAAGTAGTAGTAGTAGTAGTAGTAGTAGTAGTAGTAGTAGTAGTAGTAGTAGTAGTAGTAGTAGTAGTAGTAGTAGTAGTAGTAGTAGTACAGGAAATGATAGACATTGTGGTGTTAGAAAGTGGAATTATGGGCCTCAGTCTGAATAATGGGAAGACAGAAGTAATGGTGGTTTCAAAGAAACGAATTATTCCTAAATGTGTAATAAAAGTTGATGGTGTTATTTTAGGACAAGTACAGAAATTTAATTAACTGGGCATATGGATAACATCAATGGAAGATGCATAACTGAGATAAGAAACAGAAAAGGACAGGCAAAAACTGCATTTTATAAAATGAAGAATATTTTGTGCAATATATCCTTGTCATTGAGAGTTGGAAAAAGAATTCTTGCTTGCTACATACATCCAGTTTTAACATATGGCTGTGAATCCTGGACAATCAGTAGGCAGGCCAAACAATTTCTTGAGGCCTCAGAGATGTGGTTTTACAGAAGAATGCTTAGAATACCTTGGGCAGTCAGAAAGAGCAACCAAGAGGTTTTGAAAGAGGCGGAAGCCCGAAGACAACTTATCACAGACATCAGAAGGAGACAGTCATCATTCTTCGGCCATGTTATGAGAAGAGGGAAAATAGAACATGTTGTGACCACTGGAAAGTTCTGTGGAAGAAGGGATAGAAAGAGGCAACGAGAGAAGATTCTTGACAGTCTTCTTGCATGGTATGGAGGTGTGTCGGCACACGAACTGATACATGCTGCAGGAGATCGTGGATTATGGAGAGGTATGATCGCCCACGCCAGTCGGCAAGACACCTGATGATGAGTAGTAGTAGTAGTAGTAGTAGTAGTAGTAGTAGTAGTAGGAGGAGGAGGAGGAGAAAAAGAAGGGGAAGAAGAAAAGAAGGGGAAGAAAAGGAGAAGAAGAAGGAGAAAAGAAGAAGACGAAGAAGAAGAAACAAACCCTCCATTCATCTCTTTGTTTGGCTTTCTCTTTCCATTTGGTGACACCAAGCGTTTGCAGGTCTGTCTGGACGTTATCTCTCCATGGTCTTCTTGGTCTACCTCATGGTCTACGACTATTCCTCTGTTGTGTATACAGTTTTTACTTCTCTGTCATCTGACATTCTCTCAATATGCCACAATCATTTCAAATTAGCTCTCACGATGCCAGTGATCAATGTTGATTTAAACAGATTATAAATTTCGTTGTTGCTTCTTACTCTCCATTCCTCGCTGTTTGCATCTTTGATGGGTCAAAAGATTCGTTGTAAGACATTGTTTTTCGACGGAAAATGTTGACATACATAATTCATTTTGTTGTTGTTGCGTGAACAGACGCTTTTTGGGGGGATCTTTTATTTGTTGTGTACACACATCTGCATTTATTGTAGTACCCAAAATGTGCCTTTAAAAAAAAGGAAAGATCCCTTATTAGGCTTAAGGCGCATCGGGTATATGGGCAGAGCGTCCCATATTTTTACAGACCAATCGGCACTGGATGGGTAATGTGGTCAGCATTACGCCGGCAGTCTTTACTTTCCCAGGACAGTCATCCTGGTAACCATTTTAGGCTGAGTCGACCTGCGACGCCCCATACTACGATAAAAATCCACGCAGCCAGCAGTGGGTTTCGATTGCGGTACGTTGGACTACGAGTCGGACTTGCAATGCCTAAGCCACGGACGCCGCTAATATACCTTTAATCAAACCTACATATTTCTTGATCGAGATGAAAGGTTTGGTCATCTGTGCTCCTGTATTTCATGAAGCCTGATTGGCTATCATTCTATTTTTTTTTTCTTCCAGGAAATTAAACTGTTGTTCACTAATTTGTCCATGGTCTTTCCAAAGCAGCTTATAAGGCTTATGGGGCGGTTACTGAATTTGTTTTCAATGAGCTTTCTTTTCTTGGCTTCGGGGACAATGTTTGCCTACTTCCATTCCTTAGGAAGTAGTCCTTTGGTCCAGGATTGGTTGATGAGGTCTAAGAGTCGTACATTTATTATAATGCTGTCATGACATCTTTCGTGGTTTTCAACATCATTATGCTTCACTAAAAATATGGTTTGCTTCAACACACACTCGAAATCCCGTCCGTCTTTTGACCATCTAAACTAGGGCTTACATTTATGTTAGGACTTACAGTGTTAAACAACATTAAAAGCCACCCTAGTTCTTTTTCTCCGGTTCGGTCTTAATTTCCTATTGCTTCTCAGAGAAGCATGCGCATGAATGTGATAATAGCGTTGGTATGTACAAAGCGTAAATTATGACAGGCGTAGCTACAGTGATCTGTTAACTTGACACGCATGGCGATAGGGGGCGTGTACAGTTTATATCTACTATTGCTTTCACTGTTACATGCATGTCGGCAAATGCAGCTTAGGCGTTGCGAACGCGCTTCGTAATGTCTGGATGCCGCGTTCGATCCCAGCTGCAGGCCTTGCGCCTTGAGTTGGTTTCGACAGTGGTATCGGGAAGCCGACCGTCGAGAAAGAAATTGCCAACTCATCATCATGTAGCAAATCCTTTGCAGAACGTCGCTCTCATCACAGTCTGCCTGAAAGAAACTCGCTCTCTCGCCAGTTCTCCCGCCTCATATACTTTCACACTCAAGGAGTCACTTATATCCTGTGCCCATCTTCGTGTCGGTCGGCCCCTGCCCCTCCTTCCTGGTACCATGTCTTCTGCTATAGTTTTTTTTCAATCCGTTGTGGCGCTTCATATGACCAAAATATTTCAGCTTCCGAGAAAGGTTGCTGTTTATTAGCCAATCTTTCTTGATGTTCAGATCTTTTAAGATGTCAATATTTCTCCTCTTCTTTGTCCAAGATATTGTGGGAATCTTTCTATAGCATTTCAGCTCAAACGCCCCTATTCTCTTTCTTAAGGATTGAGAGATAGTCCACTACTCACATCCGTATGTAGCCACAGGGAAGATGCATGCTCTGAAAATTCTAATTTTTGTCTCCTTGCTGGTGCCTAACCATAGACGTTTAAGGCTGTTAAATTTTTGCATTGCCAAGGCCATCCTCCTTTTAATTTCTGTTGAACAGTCTCCATTGCTGTTTATTATAGAGCCTAGATATTCAAAGTTTGTGACATTTTCAATTTCTTCATTATTTATTGATTGCAAACTACTGGACTAAATTTGCCTAGAAAAACTACAACAGCCACAAAACGCTGGGGTTGGTTCTGCAATGTCATGTAAAGGATACGAAACTATGTTTAACTATTACATGTGTCCCATCACAACCTTCATAGAGGCCTGTGGCGTTCTTATCTGACATTGGCATCTTCTCACTGGCAAAGAGAAAGAAAAGAAAAAGAAGAAGAAGACTATTACATTTGACCACGGTTAAAAGCTTAGCGAATGAGCAGACACAGTTAACTACATGTCCTGGGCAACAATGTTCCTGAAATCCCATGCTCGAACTGCAGACAATTTTTCTTAGCAAGAGTGTGTCCCAATAGTTACACTTGCCATCGTTATGGGTTGGGATTATCATACTACCCCTTAGCACAATAAACGTGTGAAATATACTTGACGTTAAAAGTGTACCATGATTTTGCGGACATATGGTATTTTTTTTTCTTTTTTTCTTTTTGCAGAGAACTTGCTGCATCTGGAAAAAAAGGATGAAGGGGTGGGGGGGGGTGGGGGGGGGTAGCTCGGGGTAGGGGAGAGTTTCTTCTTCTTCTACATTTCCATTTTTGAAGCCAAGGTCAGGTTAGAGGGGGGAAAAAAAACACTTCTTCGACTCAGATTTCAAACCGGGATCTTCAGGGCCGCTACGCTTCAGCTGCGACCAATAATAGTGAATATAATAAAATAATAATAATGTGCTGAATGGCAATTATTCTCCCTGTGGGTTCCGGGGTCCCGCTGTGGGGAGTAAAGGGAAGTAGACCCACTGCATCTCCAACAAAAATGTCGTAAGAGTCGACTATCTGGGAGCTACCTTCTAAGTCGGAGTGCATCTGCCTGAGCAAAAGGCAAACATAAAAGCCAGTAAAACATTGTACACGCAAAACTCAGGCCCTGGCACAAAGCCAAAGTCAAGATGGACTGTGAACAAAGAAAATGCAGAGTGGCAAATATACAAATTAATATGTTTTCGATAATTTAAGTGTATAAACAAACACTGTCCTTAGAAAGAGAACTTGTTTACATAGTTAAGATGATGTGGTTATTTGGGTCGCAGGTACGAGGTCGTTGTGATATGTATAAGGAGATACACTCTGTCTCATCTCTGGTGCCAGCTCTATGCTGGTGACGGAGTCTTCTCGTGCCGTAAGCTAATTTAATGGATTCAACGCTCCTTAAATAGCATGTCCTATAAGAGGATTACATGTGAACCTCTGCTCTTTGCAAGATTCCTGCCACACGTCCTCGTCGTGCGCTACGGATAATGTCCTATATCGTAATATTATCGTCGGGAAAGACGGGATAGTGCTAACTTTAACCCTCTTACTACCATTATGTTTCTCATCTTTTATCGTGTGCAAAGAATATCATGGATTCATTTAAAAAAAAAAAGGGGGGGGGGGGGGTAAAGAAAAACAGTCCATCTGTAGACACAGGAAAGTCGTTCAGTGATTAGAAAAATTACACTTAGATAGTCTGTGTTCTTCGGATATGTTGTAAGAAAGATGGACACGAGAACGACCGGCAAGATTGGTGGAAAAAAAGCAAGGGAAAGTCAAAGAAATAAATCTTTAGATGGCTTATCCATAATGATTGAGTGAGACTGGAACATTACAGCCAAAGCTTATTGTCACTACACATAATGTTGACGACGATTCACCGCTCCTTTGTTTATGTTTCATTTTGAAACTGCTCTTCCAATTCCCATATTTCGCATGTATGTGCATTGCATTTCTGTTCTCACGAGGCTCATAGGTTTGTGGCTTAAGGTAACTGTTGTTTTATTTGTTAACAAAGACTATTCTAAACGTTCTATCGCATCTGCGCGTATCCTCTACTTTCCCCTTGTTGAACCTTTTGTTCTCGTAGTTATGACCTTTCATCCGGTGCTCTGAGAGTCTTGAGCTTGGGTAGCTGTTGAGTGAAGATAGAGCCATTTGAAATAAACCTGGCGGAATGAAGTCGCCTCTTTATCAGTTTCCAACAATGGGTAGGAGACGGAATTGGTGTAGGGAAGGGGGGAAGGGGGTGGACTGACGCTTAACCAGGGTACAAATTAAAGGTACGTCTGGTCACCACCTCACTGCCACACCTACATGGGGAAAGAAAAGGGGGTGTTAACATTCCCAAGCATTCGGGTTTCGGAACACCTGGTAGCGGTTCGTGTGAAGTCCGATGCTCTCAGAAAGGACTTCCAGTTATAAATCCTTCTACCAGATACGTTCTCACAACCAAGCTGCCCCTAATATTATGTACACACCTGTGCATTTGTCAAACCCTGCTCACTATAATTATTAGAAGATTATGACTTTTATTCAGTGTTTACACTACGGGATCAGGACTGTGACAGTGACTTGTTACCTGACTACCGGTCCAAAGAGTTCGGTTTGAATCCCCATCGTACAATGATTAAACTGGACTCCTAGGTCAACCTAGCGAGAATATGTAAAAATAAATGTCCTAGAAAGTAAAGGCGGTCGGTGTGCAGTTGGCCACATCAACTACCTAATGCCGATGGAAGAATAAGTAGAAGAGACTGCCATCAAATGCCAGTTTGGCCACTGGCGTGAAATGATTCCCTTCCCTCTTTTTTCCATTTTAACTGGAGACCTAATTTTTTTTAATGGACCCACAGCTCCTTAAATAGTATGTCCTAAAAGAGAATTACACGTGAAATCAGGTGGGTTACGCAACCTAGCTGTAAACTTCAACACGACCTGCCAACAATACTTTTCAGGACGAACGCAGAAGCAGAAAAAGAAAAGGAAGACAAAGAAGAAGAAGAAGTAGTAGTAGTAGAAGTAGTAGTAGTAGTTCGTCGACTCCAACAATAATGCTGCCCCACTGGGGTGGGTCCAATCCACAGACCCACTCACCAGATGAGAGCACTAACAGCAATGAGTTTCATGCTGTCACGTCTGCTCTATTTTTACTTGTCTTCTGTTACAGGTGGGGATGGGTGATCGTGATCAGTGCTCTGGTCGTCAGTCTCATTGTGGATGGACTCAGCTACACCTTTGGGCTCTTCCTAGGAGAGTTCGAGCGAGCCTTTGACCAGCCCAAGAGCACCATCGCCTTGGCCAGCTCGCTACAAGTAGGAATTTATCTGTTCATTGGTAAGCCACTTTGGATTCAGTCTTCAGTTTCTAATATTGCTTTCTTTGTTGTATTTACTGGCGTAGTGTTGTTATTCTCTGTTAAAGATAAATATAGATATTAACGAGGGAATATGAAATGAAGAAGGGAGTATGGGTAAAACAGAAAATCACGGCAGATAAGTTGAGCAGATTAAATACATGCCATGACAACAACGGCCGACAAATCCCAGGTTTTAAGCGTGGAACACTTCAGGCGAAGAATCTTACCATTCACATTTCTTGTGTATAATAGTATTGTTTGGAAATACAGAATGATGTCAATATTATTTTTTGTTGATAAAGACTCGGCATCTCCAGATTTTTTAAATAGCTTGTTTACTGTTTCGGTTTCTGTATCATATAGAAGGGTTGACTATAAAAATAATTGACTATTATCATTTTTGATGTTTAAATCTTCTAAAGTTAATACATTTTACAACCTTTCGCCTATTATAGGCACTACATCTGGCCACGAAAGAGACGAATAAGTAAACGAATGAACGAACAAAGTCAAACGAATAGGTAATGAAATGACAAAACTACTGTATTGCAAATTCAGACTGGGCTTCCTATGATCCAACAGGTCCAATCGTTAGTGCCCTAACTAACAGATTTGGATGTCGGCGGGTCATCATATTTGGAAGTTTCCTGGCTGGGGTCGCCTTCATCGCCAGCTCCTGGAGTAACAACGTCACTGTTTTGATTCTCACCTATGGGTTGCTCGGAGGTAGGGAAACACACACACTCACACACACACACACACACACACACTCTCACACACACACACAGAGAGAGAGAGAGAGAGAGAGAGAGAGAGAGAGAGAGAGAGAGAGAGAGAGAGAGAGAGAGAGTTTGTATGTGTTCCTGTGTGCATTATTTGTATTTAATATTTACCCGTTACCAGCTTGTTTTTTTTTCACTTATTCTTTACCAAATCAGGTTTATAAGGCTCAACTTCTATAGCAAATACGAACTAAACTATATTTATATTTAAGGTATAACTAGATTAGTACCTGCCATTATTTCTTTTTTCTATCCATCGGATGCTCGTGTACATTGCTGTGTACGTAAAAAATCCCTTGGCAGTTAGAATTTAAAAGAGTAGCATAACAGAGCTGCCTGGGCAAAATTTGTAGTGAGAAATCTACATAAAATATTTCAGGATCCTCGCCGGTGCTACGGAGTCAGTGTACTGCACTGAACTTATTCAGACTCAGACTTGAGTTAGAAGAAGAACGGAACACTTATCGGTTACTACCATTATGCTATGATGTTGATCCGTTGTTCAAACCTGAAAGCTAAATCTAAATGGCGTGGTGAAAACGAGAATGACATTTACAAATCTTGACTGGCTCACGTTTTAAAGATGTATCATCTGCATCAGTTCTCATTATGCCTAGTGGCACACGAGGCTTAAGAGAGGACTTTCCATGCTTTCCTATCCTGTGCAATCTTCAGTGCAGTTTTCCATGTCAAAGATGCCGCACTCAGGTCACTTTTCATCGTTCGTCTCATGTTCTTTTTGAGCGTCCCTGTTTTCTCTTTCCCTCTGGTGTCCATGTGAGAGCTGATTTGGCAGGTATATCAGGATTCATTCTCATAACGTGGCCAAACCATTTCCATCTTCTCTTGGTTATCATACTGTCTAAAGTTTCTTGGTTTGGGACTTGAAGTAGTTTAGTGTTTGAGATTGTATCTGGCCAAAAATTTTTGATAATTCTACGTAGACATGTGTGGTGGAAGGTGGACAGCTTGTGTGCATCCTTTTTAGTCATTCTCTAGCATTCCGCTCCATAAAGAAGAACTGGCAAAATGATGCTCTTGTAGAGTCGGAGTTTCGTTCCTCTGCAGTAACTGTTGGATTTCCAGATTTCCCTCATCCTTCCTTAAAGATGTATGCTACTAGTTTATATTTAACTACGGTTAATTTATGTATATGACACAACTGTTAATTCATGTATATGACACAACTGTTAATTCATCTATATGACATAACTGTTATGGGCCATTGCCTAATTTGTTTTTCACGATGACTAATAATAAAGTAACCAGAGTTTAATGATGTAATACTACCTGTAATACACCATCTTTTAGTATAAATATCTAATCTCTGATAAAATTGTACCATTAGTACTGCAACTGTTTTTATTAAAAGTATGGAAGCTAGAAATACATAGGACAGCCTAATAATTGCTGTTATGTGTGTTGTGAGGTGACATTTCTATCATAAAAACGAAAACTAATTAAAATGATCAAGGAGACACATAGCTTGTAGTTTGTAGGAGATCAAGATAAAATCTGGGCGCCACACATTTATCACAATACATGTGAAAAGACATCTTAAACTGTGTTTAACTGGCAAACATGTTAAAAGACACCTTAAACTGTGTTTAACTGGCAAACATGTTAAAAGACACCTTAAACTGTGTTTAACTGGCAAACGGCGAGCAATGCCTTTTACAGCTTCGCTGATTTAGAGAAAACCTACTGATCATCTAAGTAACTGTTACTTTTGCATTGTCCCTTTGATTGGGAAAGGCATTTAGAGAAAACAAGAGGAGTTTAGAATACCCAAACATCGCCTCTGCAATGTGGACGTTTTCACATGGCTATGACCGACCAGTTCCCAAAGTTCTAGAATGATTTTCAGCTGCTTCCATAGATGAAGAAGAGTGCATTGGCGGTACTCAGCCAACAGTGACCCAGATTGTGTGCAAACTACATCCAGAAAGCCACAATGATAAACCCAGAATGAAATGAATCGTCTTGTAAAAAAGCATATTTGATAGAAGAACACGGTTCCAGATTGCAACAGACGAATCTCCTGGCAGAAGATGTCAGAATTGATATGTATAGGAAGCGCAAGGCAAAGAAAACAGAGATGAACCTTTCCAAAACTTCCAAGACTGAGTGAAAATTAAACAAGAGAGGGAGCCATTGTCGGTCGGCAAATTCGAAAACTTTTTCAGGACGACGAATTTCGCTGCGAGTTGTTTTGTAAAAAGGAAGGGTGGTGGGGGGGGGGGGGGGGGGGGGGGGGGGGGGCTGCATGGCTAGCAATTAAATAAGTGGTGGATAATTTTCTTGGAATCATAAGATCTGATTTTTGCTCAATGACATTGTAGAAAATCTCTTTCTGAAATATGAGTCTTGGCTACCATATGTCTTTGAAAATTCTTTTTCTGAATATCTTTACGTCAAACTGTGAAGCTGTCAGTAATGAGCTGAAGAACAATTTTAACAGGATATTGCTGCTATGGAGACAAAGTATCCAGTCATAGTTATAGTCCTTCAATGCTTACTGACTGGACTGTGACAACATCTTTTGAAAATTTGTTGATAAGAGTTGTTTATGTATTCTATGTTTAACATATATTTTCTTATGGCCTCTACATTTCTCTAGGTATTGGGTTTGGCCTCATGTACCTGCCGGCCATCGTTGCGGTCAGCGTCTACTTTGAAGAACGCCGAGCAGTAGCCACTGGCATTGCCGTCTGCGGATCAGGGGTCGGCACTTTTATTCTTGCGCCACTGACGGACTACTTGTTGCACGAATACAACTGGAGGTGGACCCTTCTGATCCTGGGCGGGCTCATTCTGAACGGGATGGTGTTTGGGGCTTTAGTCCGACCACTGGAGCTTCAACGCGTGGATGTGTGTCCGGATATCGCTGGGGACACGGATGAGGAGGGTATTGTCAAAATGAATGGACAGTTGAAGACAAATACTGGAGGTGATACAGAGAATAAATTTATTTCTGAAAGAGGGAGGTATACGAAGGATTTTGTGTCTTCCAGTGATTCAAGAACTAAGGAGGAGATTCCTCTTCTGACTATTATGGATGGGGAGGATAAATTGGTAATCAAGGTTCCTGAACCATACACTACAAGTAAAGAGAATTATGAGGATCTGGAGCGTTCTTCCAGGCCGGCCGTGCAATTTAACTCAACTTCCCAGCTTTCAAAGGTAAACATCCCCATCACCATTATAATAATCTGAGACATCGCCATCACCAACATTGTTGTATTGGCCATAATTATCATTTTCGCCAACAACCTCTTCGTTACTTTTATAATCATTGTATTCATCCCCATAGTTATCATTATTATAATCATCATCATCATGCACATCTCAACATCTTCAACACCACTTACATTAACTAAACGTCAGTCGATCAATTACTCCCTACCCCCCCCCCCCCCTTTTCCCAACCCCGTTTATGTGATTTCATTACCCAAAAGATATTCTGTATATTCAGGTACACATTTTAGATCTTACAAGACATGCAAGTATCAAGTGAGCAAACACTATGATTATTGCTCAGTTTTGAAGTGTTCACGAAAAGTCGCTGATCGAACGGTTAAGAACGCGGGCTTTCATGACGGAGATCCAGGTTCGAACCCTCGGTAAGGACGTAAATGTTTTACCCCCAGTCGGCACAAGCCAGGTGGCCCCAAATCCTCAGGTTTAAGTACTCCTCTAAATACACCACAAAAGTGGTGGATACAGGATCAGGAGAGAGACAAGAACTCTCAGCTTTACCGGACAGAGTCTAGATCTGGAGAGAGAGGAGAACTCTCAGCGTTACCGGACAGCGTCTAGATCTGGAGAGAGAGGAGAACTCTCAGCATTACCGGACAGCGTCTAAATCTGGAGAGAAACAAGAACTCTCAGCGTTACCGGACAGCGTCTAGATCTGGAGAGAGACGAGAACTCTCGACGTTACCAGACAGCGTCTAGATCTGGAGAGAAACAAGAACTCTCGACGTTACCAGACAGCGTCTAGATCTTGAGAGAGACAAGAACTCTCAGCATTACCGGACAGCGTCTAGATCTGGAGAAAAACAAGAACTCTCAGCGTTACCGGACAGCGTCTAGATCTGGAGAGAAACAAGAACTCTCGACGTTACCAGACAGCGTCTAGATCTGGAGAGAAACAAGAACTCTCGACGTTACCAGACAGCGTCTAGATCTGGAGAGAGACAAGAACACCTGACGTTACCGTACAGAGTCTAGATCTGGAGAGAGATGAGAACTCTCGACGTTACCTGACAGCTTCTAGAACAGTGTTTCCCTGTCTGTATACATCCGCTGCCCGCCAACACAGGAAAATAGTTTCGCTGCCTACCTCAAAGCTTCTTTTTCTAAAAGTCCATGCCGTGTGGCGTTGGCAGTCATGTCGTTCCACAACCTTCTTTCTCGTGTAGTTTCAGTCAACTCTGACACAGTTGATCTTCCATGCCATGATGTCAGACTGTCCTGCGTCTGTTCTCTCGGCCTCCCCTTGCATCTCCTCCCTCCAACTTTCCTGCAGTTACTCCAGTTTTCTCCCTCTCATCACTTACCAAAGAATAAAGATTGTCTCTTTCTGATGTGGGCAATTAGTTTTCTTCGTGAGTCAGTTTCTTTCAAGACGTCTTCATTACTATTTTTTAATTTGTCCAGGGTATTCTCATAATTCATTTATAGAACCCTATCTCCGTAGCTCCAAAATAAGATTTCACTAATTTATTAATTGTTCATGATTCATATCCGTAGATCAATATAGTATTTATATAGTTTTTAAGAATCTCTTTCTCGTCTTTATTGACGAAGAAAGTTTGCATAAAATATTCTTTATTTTGTAAAACGCTGCCTTTACTTGAAGTATTTGACATTTAACTTCCTTAATACATCTTCCAACTGATGTTATCAGCGTGCATGAGGTTTTTTCCATTTACTTTGATGTTGCCTTTTGGAGGGTCACTTTTTGTTTTGTTTTGGTAATCAAAGCTAACCAAACAATAAAAACGACAAACAAATATATACGGAAGTTTACTGGATAAATCTAACGCCACTTTTACAATTGCAATTGTCGGCAAATGTGACATCTGCTGTTGCTTATTATACTTTCTAGCTGGCTGAGTGGACTCGAGGTATAGTATTCGCCTCGAGTGCTGGAGGTCTCAAGTTCAATCCCAAGTGAAAGTTGGGATTTTTTCTCACGTGGTCTTCTAGTAATTTCCCCTGGTCTCTGGGTAGTGAGATCAAACTCCTTTGTTCTTGCGCACGTAAAACAATCCCTTGGCATCTGGAAATCGAAAGAGTAGCCTAACGTTTTAAGTTAAAAATTTACCCAAAGTATTTTAGTATCCTCGCCGGTATAAGTGAGTTCGTGCACTGTGCTAAGATTCTTCAGACTCAGGCATGAGTTAGAAGTAGAACGGAGTAATTATGGGTTACATCCACTCGAGGGTCCTGATTCTCACGATTATTATTATCATTATTAAGGTTTTCAGCTAGCTTCATTTTTTTTATACTATTATTTTTAATATCTAGAAACGACGAGTTCTTAACCCTTTGGCTCGGTACTATGGATATCGCAACCCTTCAGCCTTCATTCCATGACAGATACCTTAAATCTAAGCTAAATCCCACAGCTTGAAGCTGCAGACGACACTTGTTTTCTGCTGGTTATTACCCTTCTTTGGCTTCCTGCATGTGATTTTGTCTGATCACACTTCCTTTAGCTTACTGTTTCTGCAGTTTGATCATGGCTGCAGATGTACGGTCATCATTTGGTTCCTACAAGCTTCTGACTTCTCATAGAACATTGAGTATATCGGCCTGGTCCATTGCTCGTCCGACCTCCGCCGTAGCCTTATCTGCAAGCCTATCAGCTTGCTTATTTCTATTTATACCTGCATATCCTGGCACAACAATGAAACTAATATTTGTCAGCCGTGACTGCCTCGGAGACTCCAACCACTGTCTTCTAGCCTAAACTATCTCTGCATTCTTAGGCTTATACCTGTTGAGTCACTGCGAAAGCATGCCCGGGTTGTCTGTATCTCCAGCCAGGTAAACGTTTTAGTTATAGACATGACCTGCCTTTATAACATGAATACATAAATCCTTAAAACTATTGATTGATTCATCTAGGGAAAGTATACAGGATCTGACAAAAAAATCTCTTCGTTCCCGAATTCACCGGAAAAAACTGTCAGACCCCGAGCACAGTCAACATCAGACAAAGACGCACTGGCCAAGGCACAGCTGGCTCGCTCACACGTCCCCGTGGGTCTGTCGCTGATCAGCTTGACTGACACGACCCTCAACCAGATCCGGGAGGATATCCATCTGCCACTGTCCAGGAAGGACATCCATCTGAGTGGACCTCTTCCCTTCCCAGATTCTGATGTCAGGAGGAGAAGCGAGCCGATCCGGGGGCTGTACATTCAGAGCCTACAGTAAGTGTGCTGCCTGGTCGCATGTCTGAGGTTATGGAATTGCGTGAGATATACTTGGTGGTTTATCGGTTAGTTATAGGTGGGTTGGTTGAGGGCTTGATAATATATTGGTTGGATGAAGGGTCCGTGACAGGGGTTGGCCGGTGGATCGGTTGGTAGGTTCATTGATGGCTTGATAACAGATTTGTTGGCTGAAGGGTCCGTGACAGGGTTGGATGGTAAATCGGTTGGTGGGTTCGTTTATGGCTGGATAATAGATTGGTTGGCTGAAAGGTCCGTGACAGGGTTGGCTGGTGGGTCGGTTGGTGGGTTCGTTGATGGCTTGATAATAGATTTGTTGGCTGAAAGGTCCGTGACAGGGTTGGCTGGTGGATCGGTTGGTGGGTTCGTTGATGGCTTGATAATAGATTGATTGAAAAAAGGGTCCGAGACTGGGTTGGCTGGTGGATCGGTTGGTGGGTTCGTTGATGGCTTGATAATAGATTGGTTGGATGAAGAGTCCGTGACAGGGTTGGCTTGTGGATCGGTTGGTGGGTTCGTTGATGGCTTGATAATAGATTGGTTGGATGAAGGGTCCGTGAGTGGGTTGGCTGGTGGCTCTGTTGGTAGTTTATGGTCTGTTGGTTGATTTATTAGTTAACTGACATCTTAGTTGATTGATGGGTTGCTTGGTTGAATGATGGGTTGTTCAGTTGATTGGTTGCTTGGTTGATATATTGCTTGATCGGCTGGTTGTTTAACATATGAATTGCGTGGTTCATCAATTGCTTGATTGATGGGTTGCTTATTTAATGATTTAGTTGATCGAGAGGTTTGTTGGTAGGTTGGTTGATTAGGTGAGGAGGCGGTTGGTTGGTTGATGGCTTGGTTGGTTGTTAGATTGGTTGATGAATTGGTTAGTGGATGTGTAGACTGGTTGGTTTATTGGTGGGTTGGTGAGTTGATAAGTTGGTTAGTTGATGGGTTGTTTGACTATTTTGTTGGTGGATACGTTTGTCCATTTGTAAGTTATATTTTTTTTCAATGGCCTGGTTCTATTAACTGATATATTTGTTGAATGCTGGGTTGGTACTTTGATTGATGAATTGGTTGTGACTGACTTATATGTTTGTTTTATAATAGGTTGGCTTGTTGGCGTTTAACTCGTTGTTTGTTTGTTGATGGGGTTTTTTCTGCGTTGGTTTGACAATCGATGGTTTTATTTGTCGCGCCACCGTAAGCTCAAGATATATTGAAAAAGCTTACAGATTGGTAGGTACCGCATTAATTAAAGATGGCCGGCCCATGGACCACGCAGACATTGTCAATGCCCTTGGAGAGATAGGACGTTCGAGTATTGTGCAAACAACGTGTTCAAATCACTGTTAAGGACACAATATTTGAAAGTAAAGATCGACACAGCCAAACATGAGAAGCACACCGGACACCCACGAAGTCTTGTCAACCAGCATAGGATTGGCACTACTAATCGCGCGACGCTGATGGATATTTTGAGGAGGGAATATGAGCACCTATGGATATGTCCAGAGGATTTTGAAAACAACGTGCACACATCACTGTTAAGAATACGAGAGTTGAGAGCAAAGATCGGCACAGCAAAGCATGAGAAGCACACTGAACGCATACGAATTCTTGTCAACCAGCATAGGACTGGTACTATTAACCGCGCGACGCTGATTAATATGTTGAGGAGGGAATCTGAGCTCCTGTGGATGTGTCCGGAGTGCTGTGAAGATAATTCAACCCAGAACTCAGGCTAACTAATGGCTTATTGATAGCCCTCTAAAAGAATAATTACTTGTACATCTATCTGGCTTGTTTACTTTTCAATCGTTGTCAATTTTCCATAATTTTATTTAGAAACCTGCAACCATTATTTTTTTTTTCTTGTCTGTATTTACTGCTAACTCCTTCAACATATAAGCTTTGTCTCTGTTGCTACACATTCAGATCCATCGCTAGTTTGTCGGATGTTGATGCCATAGAGATTGTGCAGGCGCAGCCTCGGGGCCTGTGGTCTTGTTTGCCGAAGTCAGCCCAGGAAACCATGGAAGAGATGCTGGATTTAAGTATTCTCAAGGTAGGATTTAACAGTTACATCCACTCGCAGCAAATTAATGAGCATTTACAATGTAGGATTTAACAGTTACATTGACCCGCAGCAAATTAATGAGCATTTACAATGTAGGATTTAACAGTTACATTGACTCGCAGCAAATTAATGAGCATTTACAAGGTATGATTTAACAGTTAAATCGGTTCGCAGGAAATTAATGAGCATTTACAAGGTAGGATTTAACAATTAAATCAGCTTACAGCCAATTAATGAGCATTTACAAGGTAGGATTTAACAGTTAAATCGACTCGCAGTAAATTAAATAGCATTTACAAGGTAGGATTTGACAGTTAAATCAGCTCGCAGCAAATTAATGAACATTTACATGGTAGGATTTAACAGTTACACTGACTTGCAGGAAATTAATAAGCATTTAAAAGGTAGGATTTAACAGTTAAATCGACTCGCAGTAAATTAAAGAGCAAATAAATCGACTTTGCAGCTACATGTACACATAATTTAAAATTGGCGAATCAGCCATGTGCCCATGTGGATTGGCACCTGAGACAATACACATCCTCCAAGACTGTCCTAAATACTGCATATCAAGGCAAAACTTTTGGCCAAGAGAAACATCGGTGCAAGTCAAACTTTACGGGTCGCTGAGTGAATTACAAAAGACAGTGAAGTTTATACTAGAGATAACATTGCAGATACAAATAATCTATTTCAAGCGAACGAAAGAGGAAGAAGAAGAAGCATTTCCAAAATTCCGATTTTATTTTTCTCTAGTCATTTACAAGTCCACGACTCACATCCACAAATTTCCACGGGAAAGATGCATGATCTCAAAATCTCTACGTCAACTGGCTTGCAAATGCTGTGTCAGTTAAATGACTGTAATTATCTGTTCCGAACAGGAAAAGAGCTACTGGTGTGTCTTGCTGGGTAACTTCTTCTGTATGCTGGGATTCTACGTCCCTTTTGTTTATGTCCCGGACAGAGCACTGGAGCTGGGGATACCAGAAGACAAGGCGGCTTTCCTGATTTCTATAATCGGTAAGGTTTTCGATGATCTTAGAGCTGTAAATGCATCTTTACTACGATTTTTAAAAAAGCCAGGGCGCCTAGCTAACAATATAAAATACTCCACTTGGCTTGTGAATACTATAAGCTATTATCATTGTATATATTTTATTCACTTGTTATATGTACAAATACTATATAATTATAAATTTACTACTTGCAGGGAGTGTCACGTTTTTGTTAGCCATAGGAAAAAAAGTCCTCTTCTTCTTCGCGTTCACCAGCTGTAAACTCTGGTGGAAAGTTCTGGTTGTTCGTCTACTTTTGGACTGCAGTCCTGTTCCAGAACCTGAGTCTCGCGTGTGCATCCATTTTACAGATCTCACTCATTTGTATGCAGACTGCTGGTTCCTTTACTCTCAGGCAGATGCACTCCGACTTTGAAAAAAGCTCCTAATTAGTTGACTCTTACGACATGCTTTGTGTAGGCAGTGGGTCTATTTTTGTTTTCTCTATAATAGAATATAAGTGTAGTTGAACTGTGTGAAGAGAATTATTCAATCTCTTGTGTCCATTAAATTAAATGATAATTTTATTGAATGGTCTTATCAGAGAATTAATTATGTGTTAAGTTTTAATTAAGAGCCTATTTTATATTAAACAAAAATTTTTTGTAATTAAAATATTTTTATCCCAATTAAAAGCTTGTATCTATTGGCGTCTGTGGCTTAGACTTTGCTAACGAGCTTCGTAAGGCCGGGGTGCTGGGTTTGAACCCAGCTGCGGACGATTGGTCTTGACTGGTTTCGACAGTGGTACCGACAGCTGACAGTTCAGTACAGTAGCCAACTACTGAACGTGACATTTGCCTAGAAAAACCAGAACAGCCTAAAGATGCTAGGGTTGGCTCTGCAGTGTCCTGTAAAGGATACGAAACTAATTGTCCCAACACTTCACCCTATGAAGTGGTTGGTTTCAATATTTCTCGGCATGTCTCCCCAAGGCTGCTACCTGACAGTTTGACCACTCCGACATTGCAAAAATGTCATTATGAATAGCAAGTCAACAGGAAAACCATGTTTGCGCACTTAAACAAGGCTTACGCTCTTAAAATTCACCCCTACCTCATAGACAATCATAAGTGGGCTGAGGCCGTACCCTCTAAATCTCTTGGTTGCGGTTCGTCTGTCTCGTATCAGCAACAACAGCCTAAAGTCGTATGTGTGAGTAAGGACGATCAATAATGACCCGAGTCCAGTATAGTCGATCGATCGATCGGTCTGCCCCTTCAGACTGCCACCTAAAGTTGACCATACCGTCATGAGATAATAGAAACCTCAATATGGACGGCAAGCCAACAAGGCAGATCCTAGACTCTCAATTCAATCGCCATAGAAATTATAATGAGGGCATCTGCAAAAGCAACACCAGCCAGGCGTAACCGGTGGTACTATAGGTGTACGGAAGAGTATTGCCAGTATTCTGCAGGATTATGTCCCTTCCCTTCTCCAGAACTAGACATCTATTTTACAGAGAAATCTTGTCATCTCATTGTGGGATACAATTTTTCGTTATTTGAAGCCCTACTCTGGCTCTTGACAGGGGCCGCAATATAGCCCGGCCATAAATATGGTCTAATGGCTGAGCGCGGTTTCTGGGATCTCTCATCCACATGATGGCACTTTGTGTCATTGTGTGTTTATCGCTTGTGTGATGTCCTAGTGGGGTAAAAGAAGATATATAGATTTTACAGAGCAACCTTAATTCCGCATGTGAAGGAAAAATAAATAATTATCGCATTTTACGACATGCTTGTTTTGTGGAAAATGGGTCTACCCCCCCATCCCGCCAACCCCACCAACCCATTAAATGGAGTCCCGGAAGCCACACAAGAATTTATGTCCCTATGTGACCAGATCAGGTCAGTACGCCTCCAGCTAAGACAACTTCATGTCTCCAGGTATAACGAATACGATCGGCCGAGTGCTGACTGGGGTCCTGATCAACTTCTTAAACCTGGACTGTGCAGCGGTGACCAGCGGGGCCCTGTTGATTGCCGGCATCGTGACGGCCATCTGCCCCTTCTGTCACACCTACCCGTCTCTGGCTGCTGTCTCCGCCATCTTTGGCGTCTGCGTGGGTAAGTCTGTGTCCTTAGTTTCTGTGCTGTACTTCACCACCACTATCACCACTACTATTGCTCTGCTACTACTGCTGCTACTATTTCAAGAACAACTACTACTATCACCAGCAATAGTACTGTTAATGCTACTGCTAATGCAGCTACTACTACCACCACCACACCCACCACCAATACCTCACTACTACTGTTGATGCTACTACTACCACCACCACACCCACCACCGACACCACCACACCCACCACCGACACCACCAATACCTCACTACCACTGTTGCTGCTACTGCTACTACAAATGTCACCACCACCACCACTGCTACCACTGTTACTACTGTTTCTGTTACTTATATTTCAATTACTATTACTATCACCACCACTAACACTGCTAATCTACTAAGCTACCACTGCCACTACTACTACCAGTACCAGCACCACAACTACCCATCACCACCACTACTACTGTTGCTACTGCTACTACAACTACTTCTACTATTGCTGCTGCTGCTTCAAGAGCTGATGTGTAACACTACTTTAATGTGTGTCCCAACAGCCGCCTACATCTCCTTGTGTTCAGTGTTACTGTGTGAGTTACTCGGTGTCGACAGCCTTACCAACGCTTTCGGATTTGTGATACTCTTTAGGGGCGTGGCCTGTATCATGGGGCCACCAATCGCAGGTAAGAGTTTAAAAAAAATTAAACATTTTAAATTTTACTTATATTTTGTTTACCACCTGTTCTTGTTCAAAATTAGGTTTATATTCACTGTTATTTTTATGAATTAAATTCCAATTAAAAAAAAAAAAAATTATATTTAATTGTCAGAGCAAGAGTCTGCTCAGTCTGCTCGTCCCCTTGTGGCATTCAATTGTTTAGTTCTTTGCCGGGGGCCCTGAATATAGACAAATGTAAATCTGGCCTAGCCTTAGATATGGCCTAACGGCTGAAAGGGGTTTCTGGGACCTCTCCACGGATGATCCTCATCCGCTTGGGGGCACTTTTTGCCACCAGGTGTTTGTCGCGTGTGTGATGTTCTGGTGGGGTACAACTACCTACCTACCTACCTACCGACGCCTGTCTGGATGACCAAATATCAGTATCTTTCCCTTTCTGTCTGTCTATTAGTTTGTGCAAATCTATCCGTATATTCAGTTAAACATCGATGTACCTATATACCAAGTCTTAAAAATCACCTTTCTGTGTGTATCTTCAGCCGTTTATGTCTTTTATCTATCCACCTGTCCGTAAAACCGTTTCTTTATCTGTCTGGCTGCATGGATTTGTATCATGGTACGGGGCGTCGCAGGTCGAACCAGCCTAAAGTTGGTACCAGGATGTATGTCCTGGGGAAGTAAAGACGGATGTGCTGACCACATTACCCACCTAATGCCGATTGGTCTTAAAAATATGGGTGCTCTTCCCGCATGCCTGATGAGCGCTAAAGGCGTGAAAATGGATCTTTACTTTGCTATTTACTTTACTTGTATCTATCTTTAAACATCCAAGACTCGCCTATGTACACTCCTACCATGAAGTACCTACCAGTCTCTTTACCTTACTTAGGTATCTTTTAAATCTGTCCGTCTACATGCCTACGTGTCTGTCTGTCTACTTGCCTACCCACTTCCTACTACCCATCTAAAATACGTGGCTTTCATCACTTGATAAAACCCAGATCAAGAGCGTACCATAGATTATCTGTCCATGATATTCAAGTGTGCGATGCGAGGTAACGAGCAAGAACAGAGATTAGCTGCTGCCGCTTCTATGAACGGTGGGCTACTATATAATAAAGTGGATGTGATGAAGTCTTTATGCGATTCAATGGACAGTGCTAAAGAGCAGAAACGGGGTCTATACACGGAAAGACTAATTCATCAACCGGGGGGGGGGGTGTAAAGGTTCTTAAAGAGATTCAGCATGGAAGGCGACACAGAGCATGTGACCTCTACGTTCGTTCCTTAAGAGCTCGTGTGGGAGCGTTCCGAGTGCAGCGAAGTCAATTAATTCATTCCTTCATTCATTCATCTAATATTATGTCTGTCTGTCAGTTTACTTACACTATCAATGTGCATATTTGTACACACACACACACACACACACACACACACACACGCACACACACACACTAGTCTATATTTTTCTTTTAAAATGTATTTATTTACTGTGTTCCTCCTTCCTGAAATCAGGGGCATTAATCGACAGCACAGGAATCTTCGACCCGTCCTTCTACGTGGCAGGCGGGATGATCGTTCTTGGCGCACTCTTCCACGCCATACTGCTGACTCCATTTGTTCGTAGAAAAAGATTCTGAGGATTGATGATATTGTTTTAGGCATTATGTTAAATAAATACATGTTTGATGATAATACAGCTAGTCTGAAAGTGTACAGTTTTAGCCATGGTGTCTATTTGAATAAATTGATGTCAATTGCATTGATAAGAGAGTGTTATATCATACATAAACCACGTTACAAATAATGAAGTCATTCTTACTTTTACCGGGAGCCCTCTTTTTCTTCTTCTTTTTTTTTCTTCTTTCGTTCGCCTGAAATAGGTTGTCTATGTCAGCAATTTTGTCTCTTGTATAATTTTCACTGTCGTTGTTAGTTCATTCAGTGGTCCATAGAGTTTACGCTCCACTGTTGTTCTTTCTGGCCAAAAGGTTTGCCCTTATGTGTCAAAATCGGTGCAGTCCTGGAGTACATGCTCTGTTCTCTGGAGCAACTTTCCACAGGTGCACATGGCTGATACGCCTATATTGAATTTTGTGTACGCGTGGTTACGTAATCGGTTGTGCCGTGTTCTGAGGCGGAGGATAATGACTTGTTCTGGTCTGTCCATAATAAAATAGTCGTCCTGTGCAGGGGCTGGTGGTTTCCTGGTCGAGTTAATGATTCTTTTCTTTTTGTGGTGTGTGACTGGTATATCCGGCTGCACTTTTGTCGCACCTTCCCCTGCCAGTTGATCAGCTTTCTCATTTCCAGGCACTCCACAATGTGACGGTATCCACTGCATTACGACTCTTCGCTGAAGGCTAAATTGTGTCAGCAGTGTTTGCAATTCTGGTAGTTTCCTAGACTGGAGTGCTTCAAGTGCTGATTTTGCATCTGTCAGCATTACCACTTACTGTGAACCAAGATTGGTATTTAGCAGTTTATATGTCGCTATCTTGATAGCCTGAGTTTCTGCATCATAGTTATGGCAGTACTTTCCGGTTGGTACGCTGGACTTCTTCCTAGTAGTATCTGGGAATTCTATGTACACTCCAGCACCACCATTTCTAACTGCACTTTGTGCTGACCCATCTGTATAGACTCTGACCCATTGTTCTTGTGGGTATTCTTTATCAATATAACCAAGGGTGGTTATTCTGCGTTGTGCACTATCTTGCTCTTTCTTGTCAAATATTCGTTTCACATTTGTCTGGAATTGTACTGTTAGTTTGCATTTCTCTCTCCATGGGGTTTGTTTTGGAATACTTTTAAGTGGACAACCAGTTTCTGGAAGGTCAGCAGTTTGTCTACTTATTCTTTTTGCTTGATGTGTAGAGCGCCGGAAGCCCTCAATATAGCCGGGCAATAAATATGGCCTAACGGCTGAAATGGGTTTCTGGGACCTTTCCACGGGTGATCTTCATCCGCATGGTGGCACTTTGTGTTTCTAGGTGTTTATCGCTTGTGTGATGCCCTGGTGGAGTACAACGAGAGAGAGAGAGAGAGAGAGAGAGAGAGAGATAGAGAGAGAGAGAGAGAGAGAGAGAGAGAGAGAGAGAGAGAGAGAGAGAAAATGACGAAGGTCAAAATTCTACACATCAGCAACGATGGGTTGTGTTTAAAAACAGTGAAAACAAAAATTAAATATAATAGTATGGATTGTGCAACAAAATCTACCTACATCTTCATAAAGATACTACAGGGCTCTGTAGAAAGGAAGAGAAGACGAGAGAGAGAGAAAAAAAAAAACAAGCCCCGAACACGTGAACTGTCCACTGATACTGATCCACAGAAGTGGAGGAAAATAACCAGACAGTCAACAACAACTGGTCATCCAGTGTCCAGTGATGATACGCGACTAAGATAACGCCTGGATCTCAAACATGAACAATGAACAGACAAGTTATTTGGAATCTTGTCCATCTTGCCTAGCAGGCTAGATCAGGGCAGTACTTGATTTAGCAGTTAAACGTGTCTTAATTATACATTATAAGGAAGTTAAACTGAGTAATTGGTAATGTCCCCAAGAGGCTGGCAGCTTAGAATTGGCTCATGAAATTGCAGGTGTGGTCAATGTTTACGATAGCAGTCTCAACGAGTAAAACCTGCAGGAAAACAGAGCAAACAAGATGGGAACGAACAAACGAATTATTTTTTCAGAGGGTCACAAATGGGGCACACAGGCCCGTCTTACATTCGGCCCTTCCAAACACCCGTCTTTCACACTTATACTCATATTTTATCAATAAGTATGTTGTATTAATATGATAATATGCATATTATGAATATCAAGTAAAAAACCCAAAAGCATGGGTGGTAAATGCATTCACACACTAGCGCACGTACAAACACACACACACTCACTTAAACACACACATATACACACACCACATACATCCACATACTTTCACACACACATAAACACACCCCAGTTCACTTACATACATACCTTCCTACCCACACATACACGCACATTCCACACACATATATATACATACATACAGATACACATAAACACACACAGACACACCCACAGACATACACACAAGCACACACAGACACACCCACAGACATACACACAAGCACACACAGACACACCCACAGAAACGAACACAGACATACACACAAGCACACACAGACACACCCACAGACATACACACAAGCACACACAGACACACCCACAGACATACACACAAGCACACACAGACACACCCACAGAAACGAACACAGACATACACACAAGCACACACAGACACACCCACAGACATACACACAAGCACACACAGACACACCCACAGAAACAAACACAGACATACACAAGGCACACACAGACATACACACAAGCACACACAGACACACCCACAGAAACGAACACAGACATACACAAGGCACACACAGACACACCCATAGAAACGAACACAGACATACACACAAGCACACACAGACACACCCACAGAAACAAACACAGACATACACAAGGCACACACAGACACACCAACAGAAACAAACACAGACATACACATAAGCACACACAGACAAACCCACAGAAACGAACACAGACATACACAAGGCACACACAGACACACCCACAGAAACGAACACAGACATACACACAAGCACACACGCAAGTGAATGTGAGGGACTTAAACAGGGCATTTTCCGACGGTACTGTTATGAAGAATCACTTTATTGTAAGGACAACAGCAACAGACACTGCGTGGTGCATACCTGCACATTTAGTTATAGACTTTTTGGTGAGTATATCACTTATATTTTTTCCCCTTGATCAGAAGTGTGGTATCTCAGGGAGAATACCAAGGAGAACAAGAAATTGTTGTGAGAAAAGGAATGTTTATGTAAACTTTTAGAAGCACACAGAGGGTTAAAATAGAACTAAGGGTTCGGTACTACGACAAGGGCGTATGGCACCCATGCTATTATACCAGCATTTTGTATAGACCATCGGAGCTCGATATGAGGAGCGGCTGACCGAGCGGTTACAACGTCGGGCTTTTATGCTAAAGATCCGAGTTCAATTCCCGGTAAGATAATTGAGGTTATCTGTCAGAGGCAAAATTAAACATTCTTACCTGCACAGTCCGTGGCGACAGCACCAACCAGGCGACCCTAAATCATTAGGCTCGAGCACCCATCTACACCGCCATAAATAAAAAGTGGTAAAACAGACAGTAGTGACATTTGTTTTTAATCAGCGCCCGATGTGTGACGTGGTTAACAGCACACCGACCATCTTTACTTCTCATGATAATAACCAGTACTAATTTTAGTCTGGGTTGACCGGGGAGCCATAGTCACTTTAAGAAAAAAATCTAATTCGATGGAATTAGAAAAGAAGTCCGTCACACAGACAGGCTGGCGTTTGTCTAGTCACTGCCCGACCACGGCACCCCACACGATGGTCAATATCACAGCAAACATTACCGTCTGGGCATTGATTCCTTGAGGACATGGGAGATAAGATGGCACCCCACACGATGGTCAATATCACAGCAAATATTACCGCCTGGGCATTGATTGCTTGAGGACATGGGAGATGAGATGGCACCCCACACGATGGTCAATATCATAGCACACACTACCGTCTGGGCATTGATTCCTTGAGTACATGGGAGATGAGATGGCACCCCACACGATGGTCAATATCACAGCAAACATTACCGCCAGGGCATTGATTCCTTGAGGACATAGGAGATGAGATGGCACCTCACACGATGGTCAATATCATAGCAAACACTACCGTCTGGGCATTGATTCCTTGAGTACATGGGAGATGAGATGGCACCCCACACGATGGTCAATATCATAGCAAACACTACTGCCTGGGCATTGATTCCTTGAGTACATAGGAGATGAGATGGCACCCCACACGATGGTCAATATCATAGCAAACACTACCGCCTGGGCATTGATTCCTTGAGTACATGGGAGATGAGATGGCACAAAACACGATGGTCAATATCATAGCAAACACTACCGCCTGGGCATTGATTCCTTGAGTACATGGGAGATGAGATGGCACTCCACAGGATGGTCAATATCACATCAAACACTACCGTCTGGGCATTGATTCCTTGAGGACATGGGAGATGAGATGGCACTCCACAGGATGGTCAATATCACATCAAACACTACCGTCTGGGCATTGATTCCTTGAGGACATGGGAGATGAGATGGCACCCCACACGATGGTCAATATCACAGCAAACATTACCGCCTGGGCATTGATTCCTTGAGGACATGGGAGATGAGATGGCACCCCACACGATGGTCAATATCATAGCAAACACTACCGCCTGGGCATTGATTCCTTGAGTACATGTGTGATGAGTTGCATAAGAAATAAGGCGGGAAAAATAAAAAGGGACTGAGCTACCAATGAAGAATAATGACAATGGTAAGACCAATACCAGTACATGATTTCATAGAGCATCAAGTATTTCAGGATCCTCGCCGGTGCTACAGAACATGTGCACTGTGCTGAGCTTCTTCGGACTCAGACTGGAGTTAGAAGACGAACAGAGCACTTATGGGTTACTACCCGTGTGCCATGATGTTGATCCGTTGTTTAAACTTCAAA